ATATAATCCTTCAAAATTAAAATGTAAATACACATTTATATCTAAATAATTGATGTAATTGATTTAATGGCACAATAATTTATTTGTCAAACTTCTTTTTGACCCTATAATTTATTTTAATACGCCAGTTATATATTTATACATTTATTTCCAATAATGATAGGTTTGGTCCTCCATACTATGGAGCCTATAATTTATTTTAATACGCCAGTTATATATTTATACATTTATTTCCAATAATGATAGGTTTGGTCCTCCATAGTGTCATGATTACTTGTAATAAATCAACATTGTCTGAATGCAACACTGCAGTGTTGATGTGTTGATCTCTATATTGGCATTTGCAAGACTATGGTTTCCATACACCAAGAATTGAAGATATAGCTAATATATATGAATTAACAGGAAAAAGTACTCAACTTAAATAGATTTGTTATACCATTTTGGCAGCTTTGGGAGCCTCTGAAGCATTTCTATTCTGGGTAGAAACTTCATATGATGTCTGCTGGTTGGTAATGAGTGGTTCTGGTTCCTCCCACTAATCTATAAAAAGCCCAAAGGCAGCAGTAGTTGACATAAGCTGATTGATTACAGGATGCGAACATAAATCTCCTGGTTCAGCAGTCAAACGGAGCATTCATGGACTTAAAGGAAACAGCAAATAAAGATCTGGACATGACTATAAATTTCAGTGAGGAAAAAGCAGGTTTTTTTCAGCGTCTTGTCAGGGTTTCATTATCTTTCTGCATTATAAATTTTTGCAGAAGCGTAAATCATAAATTTGCCCTAATTTGTTTTAAATAAAGACTTTTACTTTTGATTAATAATCATTTTATTGGTATTTATTTGTTACATTGTTTTATGAATAGAATTTCTTACCACTAATTCTGAACTTTAGGGGTTTTTTTATATTTAACTTTTTCATGCAACCTTTCTTCAAAACTGGAAACAGAACACAATAGTTAGGGATTATAAAAATGCCATTCCAGTCAACCATCCACTTTCCTTACCAGCTAATGTGGATCATCAGCAGTTTGAGGCAGGGGACACCCTGGACATGTCTCCAGTCCATAGCAGGGACACATCCAACCTGAAATTTCTTGTCCTATTGACATTTGACCCAACTTTTCCCCCCAGTAATGAAAATAAAGAAGTACCTAATCATCTCACCTTTAAGTGAGTAGAAGTTCTGGTCCTCTAAGAGAGACCAGGGAGCTTGAGGGTTCTGTGACATATAGATGTTCCCAGGACTATGTTCTTTTGAGCAAAGATCTCTGAGGGGGTCTGTGAGCCATTCTTCCAGTTTGGGGGGTCACAGGTTAGGCACCACGAAGACCTTGACTATAAGCAACTTCTCTATTCCCTCTTTAGACCATTTGTATTTCTCAAGGTTGTCATGTTCCTTCTTCTTGATGTTGACAAACGTGCATGCACAAATACCTATGTAAAATTATGGGCAGTGGAAAAAAAACAAAAAACACACAGACAAAAAAGAAACTTTAGAGAGGGCAAGTAATTTCCTGCTGCCCCATTTTAACTTAAGCCTCGTGAGAAAATGAGTCCAAATGTCATTTAAAATTAGTTTATTTCACCTGCAAGCAAATTATCCCTGAAATGAAAACAGATGAAACGCAGACATAACAATAAAAAGATTTACAACAGGACACTGCTGCTCCCTGGTGGTGAAATGGTAACAAGCATCAACAGTACGTATCATTTGGTGACACTTAGCTCTCGTTTTCAGCAACTTGAACTAAAGCATTGCTTTCATAGGTCCTTAACCCGACAAGAAAGTATTCCAAATAAAAGTACTGACTTGCAAAGGTACAGTTTCTTTATTATATTCATCCACATGTTACATGTAAAAGAACATAATGAAGGCCAAATTAAACATCATGCACACTCGATGAGGCAAACATTTAAATATAAGGGCGCTGCATCCTGGGTTTGTCCTTTGTCTGTAGGTTTACAAAAGAAAAAAAAACAGCAGTTTTTTTAGTCTTTAACCCAAAAAATAAAAAATAAAAATTAAGGTTATCATAGCACTTACTCATTTACACTTTATCAATGCCGAGCTCTTCGGGAGTAGAAATGCCGAGCTCGTCTAATGTTGGCCGCAGCTCCTGGATCACGTATGGATAGATATCTTTATGAGGTCCTGCTTTGTCCTGGAGAAAACAAACAGTAAAACACCATCACTGTGACTCGTGGAGAAGCTAGAAGAAAAGATGGCTGACATATTTTCTTTAAAATCCTCTCTCACCTTGACAGCCTCCAAGATTCGGATAGCGCTGGCTAAGTCGTTTAATCTCCGACAGGCTCTCAGCACAGCCTCGAGGATCTTTGGCTCTGGTACCAGATCGTACCCAATCAGTGTGTTCAGCCCTGGAACACAGAGGTGATCATTTATTCACTGAATTACAACAGAAAGGTGCCGGTGGCAACACAAATCTGAACAAACCTTTTTCCCTTTGTTTTAAATTAATTAAACCTAAATTTACCCCAATGCAACTAAAAACAATCTAAAACATCCATTTACACATACATATAAACACTCCAGAATAATTGAACTATTTATCAGAGTAATGCCAACTAAAACATTTAGATGTTACAGTAAACTTACAAACTGTTTCAGATTTCAAACTAATGGTTATCACTGGCTGCTACGAAAGGTGAGCAATCAGGTAATTGCTTCTATCTGTGTGCAAACTTCAGTAGATATAAAAATAGCTATAACTTAATATTAAAGATAATGAGTCAGCATTTTGTGTGGTAGTAGACACTACCTGTTTTTAAACTTAAGAAGCTGCCTTTAAAAATAACAAAATAAAATGAGCATTTCACGTTAAAACAGCAAACCAACCACTTCTGCAGCAACTTTTTAAAATTATTGCTTTCTGTTTTAGATCAAACCAAGTGAAAAACATTTTTTAAGCTTCCATCTCCTCACTTCCCCTATCCCAATAAAAACATTTCCTTTCCTGGATTTTAGTGCTGGGCGGTATACCATTTTGTACCGAATACCGGTTTTTATTTTTGTTATATGAATTTTTTAATAACGGATATTCCGGTTTAAACAGCAGAACGTTTCGTTGTGGCCGCCAGTGAACTGTTGTTTCCCGGGGGACATTTTTCCTTGCTGCACCACTATGTGCGTTAGCATGCTAATGTTTGGAGCAGCTAGTTGCAGCCGCGGGTGGTGATTCCACTGCTTATATTGACGGAAGTTTATAAAAACATCCCGTGTTCGCCATCACTGAATGTAGTAAACACCTCTTCAGTGA